CCCCAAAACCCCAAAACCCCGTGAGTCAAAATCATGCAGTAATCAATAGAAGTAAATAATATTCAAATTAGTTGGATATTGATATTTAAATCATTCAAATTCAATATTTTCATCCTCCTTTATTTTTCTGAAGGCTTTAATTTCTCCTGGCTACTAATCAAAGTTCAAATTCAAGTTTGCAACATCAGGAAAAATAACATCACTAGAAATTTCTCCCAAATGAGTATTGTTATTTGGATTAGTAATTTCAGTTTGCTATGGTAACTGTTTAGTTTCATATTTGGAGCTAAGTCTATTCTTGAGTATTTTTGTAATAAAGTAAAAATAAATCGCAATTGCAATAGCTGTGACTAATAAAAGCAATACTATGCAAATAGCTAGGACTAAAAATTGGGATTAATCCTAGATAGCAAAATCCTACTTCTTTACAAGGATAGGCTTATATGGAAATGATATTGATTATTCATCAAGCATAGCAAATACGTTATATTGTACAGTTTCATCAGATAATTCTTCATCTATAAATGTATTAACTCCCTCGCTTTCGTCTATGAGTATCTTAAACTCTTTTAAATGCTTAACAGCACAAATATGCCCTAGCTGTACTGATAAGTCATTAGTCTTGATAAGTTTATATTTAACTCCATTGATTCTTTGTGAATCTTATCCAACTTGCTTAGTGTAAAGATCACCCCAGCTTAGTTTTATTGATCCTTATGAATCTTTCTGCTGCTCATATTATATTTATCCAAAGTTTTCTGCAATGTAATTGCTTTAGATTTCTTTCATTTTTTGTTATGATTCAGTGACTTCATAAAATATCATAAACTCAGTTTCTAGTTTTTGAGACCTATCGAGGACTTGGAATGGCTCAACAACAATAAAGTACTCTCTTGTTAAATTGCTGATAACTGCAACTTTATAACCGTACTCCTCAGTAATCGTTAAGTTGATTCTCTTAGTATTAAGATCTTGCAAATTCTTTATCAATGAAAATTACGACTGTCCTTTGCAGTCTGAAAGTTTTATTATTAATGTTGAGTTAGTAGAAAATGAGACTTTGAAAATCAATGGTTTTAAATCTTTGAAAGCAAAAGTATATTCTGTAGATGGCAATATTTTATGAATACTTGAATCAGAAATAGTAATTATAATCTAAGCATCACTTCTTAGATTCTCAATTAGCTTCAGATCTGTTTTTTCATCTGGATATGTCAAATTTTCATTATAGTAAATGACAGACATTGCTAAAATCTGATTTGGCAAAGAATTTTCCAGCTCGAAAGAGATATCTAGCTGATAGATATTTTTGTCCCAATCCTTAATTGTCAGCTTGCTGTTATCTAGTTATTCATCTGGAGGGAATATTCCCTTCTAGGTGATACTTTGATTTACAATAGAGTAATATATAGTAGGATAAAATCCTTTTGTTCTCGTCTTTATATTGATCTGTATTTAAGCATTTCCAGATGGTAATTTGTACGTGAATAATTTTTTATTGTCATTAAAGCTACTGAAATTCACAACCTATGGAAGATTTTATTAAAGACTGGTAATTTTTATATTTTAAGTCATCTAAATTGTAAGTTATGAGTATTCGCTATTAGATTAAACAATTAGATAGTATAGCTTTCCTGTAATAAATTGACTCTGGTTGAATTTGACAATATTTGGATTTGAGTAAACATAATTAGCATTGTTGATGTCTGGTGTCAAAGAAATGTAAAGATTAATAGATCCAGATAAAATTGTGGTTGTAATTGATATAGGATCAATGTTTTCAATTATAAATACATTAATTTTCTTAGTTTCTTTACCTTATAGCTCAATTCTTCTTATTTCTCCAATACTTAGGAAATATAATTATTTTTGAGCATTTTCGAGATTACTAATTTTTATTTAGAATTAAGTTTTTTGTTCATAAGTGCAAACTAGCAAGAATATTATGCAATTAATGCAATAGTTTCTATCTTATTTTAAAATCACTATTTAAGATTCCTCCTCTGATGAGAGAGAAGTTATGTTTTACCTTTACCAGGTGTGTTTTGATTTAATATAATTTTCATCTATATACTATTCTTATAATTATGGTAAATCCTCCGTATTCGCCTGAAATATAAAGAATGATAATTTTCCAGTTATTACCTTTAAGTCTATCATTCTTCCTAATTTTTGCCACATAAAACATTTATAAATTGCAGTATCAAACTACTCCAAATATAATTCATATGATCCTGGTGGAATTAATTATTAAAATTTGGAAATTTATGTATCCAATGAAACTTGAACTGTTTGGTTATTCGTTGAAAATAATCCAAAAACATAATAATCAGACATCTAAGTAAGATTGTTCTCTTAAAAATAGGGTGAACTAATACTTATTTCTAAGAAATTTTATTAATCAAATTCTTTCCTAAAATCAAAGTCAGTCCTGGAGGGTTAAAGTAATCCCTTATTAGCATATATTTCAATGAGGGAAGAGTTCTAAGATTCTACATTGAGTCTAATCTTGGATGTCTACATTTGATCAAGATAAACTAGGTAAGTAAACTGACCAGATTGTAGAGGTAAAGTTGCTCCTTTATTAGTTAGTTCAACTATGCTAGATTAAATCATTAAAGAGTAAGTTGATTCAGTTAGAGTAGAGTAATCTCCAACGGGTAGTTTTGATTCTATGCTTAAAATCAAATAGCATTCTAATGCTTCAAATAGTATCTAGACATTTTTCTAAATACATTAAGTGTAATTTTCTTCACTGTATTATATATATTCTCCTCCTTGTAAAGACTATGACTATTAGGAAAGATATTAATCTATTGTAAGTAAATCATTTCTTTATTTGAAATTTAATTTAGTTTTAAACTCTTTAATCTAACTGCTCAACTTTAGAAAAAGAGGGCCATCCAACTTCTTAACTTAAATCATAATTGGTCCCTTCATTGACTTGGGGATTCTCATATAGTAAAATGAGACTTAATTAGGCTTTATCTAGTGAATCGTAAGTAATCCAGGTTTAACTTCTTGAATTTATTTACTCAAGTAATTTAGTTAAATGCTATATAAGCATTCTGGACCATTTTGAACGTATATTGAAATATAAAGATAACAGGCTTAATTTGAAGAATAGCTTAGATCTGCACATGTTTCATAAACTTGGCTGAAAAATGAACTTGGAACTGTCAAGATCGCTAAATTATCCACAATTAAAGCATCATTAAGATCAAAGTCATACATATAGGATTATGGGATAGATTGAATCTTAACCAACATACCAAGGTCTGATAAATGCTAAGACTAAATTTAAATCTAAATATCTTAGTTCTTTTTCAATAAGTAATGCTTGAATCCTACTAATTTATCATACTTTTGTTCTAGATTGATAAGTTGGTTTTAATTTAAGTGATAATCGTATTCCTCTAGCCTCCATTCAATTTTAAAATTGATATCTTCTTTTTTATATATCATCGTGCCATCATCTTATATCTCTTTAAGCATTGCCCATTCATTTGGTATTGTCATTATAAAGTAATATGCATTCTACCTAAGATCAAAATCTCATTTCCAAACGCTATTGTTTCCATTTTTGAGAATAAAATCATAATCATTAATTGTTGGTTTTTTATTTGTTTTAAGAAATGTAATAGTCTTATTGTTTGGATTAAAGACTTCAATTATTAAGTCATCTTATTTTATCAATTTATCATACTAGAAATATGTTTCAATGCAGTCGTTTAAATCTTAAATTACTTTGTGATATGCTAATCCTTCAATTAATTATATCTGGCTACTCTCTATCACTTTATTCTGTGAATAAGCATATTTAAGCTTTACAAATATTTGAAAAGTTGCATACGTATGACCATATATACCAATCTTATAAGCAAAATCAATTTCTTAAGAAGTGATATTACCTTACCCTTTAGATTAATTGTCTCTCCTTATTTCAAGTATGTCACTTTAATTATCAGAGATATTCAACGAAAAAGAATTATTAGAACCAATTTTTGGGAAAGCTTCATCAAGCGAAACGATTAAAGTAGACTCTCCGTGCATTTTATCTAGTTTGATTTCAATAGCTTCTATATCGTTATTTATATCATAAATTCTGAACAAATAATATTGATAACTATATAGATCTACTTCACCTTGTGCTAATGTTTCTTCATATAGATTAATATATGATTGCTAGAAGGTATTGACTTCTATTTGGTATCGTATTGATTGATTCTAATTGTTTCTTATCAAAATTAGATAAAAGCAGCTTTCTCCTAATTAAGATATTTAGCAAGTACCATTCTAGTATTATATCTCAGACTTTAATAACTAGCCTGAAAGCTATTCTAATTTAAAACCTAATTCATCAGGTTGAAAAATTTCAAGTTAAGATTCTATATTGGCTAAACAAATTTTCTCAAGTTTGTTATAGCAGAACTTCAAACCAATTTCAATATTTTTAGCTCCTTCTGTAATTGGCAGAAGTTTAACCTCAATTTTATAATTTTAATAAAGGTTTATCCATTGAGACATTTCATAAATATGAAGATTGTAACTCTTTGATAGTAATTAAAACTCTTCTTAGAATCCATTCTCTAAAAAATTATAGTTTCGTTAGTCTGTTACTTAAATTTCCTCATAAATTTTTATATAAAAAGAACTGAAATTTACACTCTCCAGACAAACTTGGTAATATCCTTAGGGATTCAAAAGCCTTTGTTTTCTTTAATCAGGAGTAATATTAGAGATAACTTAAGTAAGATTGAATCTTGAAATTTTGAGAGTAGTTTTTTAGCTATTGTCATTGTACGAAGATACAAACAAGTTAACTCTTCCTTGGAATGTAGCAATTTTGATCATCAAATCAGTCAAGTCTGACCTCACAAAGTAGAGGAAACACTTAGTCTTGTTTTCAAACACCAGGTCATTCCGAATCATATTCTCATGTACTTCCGCTACTTCCTCCTCGGTCTCTGCCGATACTTAGAAGTAGGCAGACTCGCCAGACTCAATCACCACCTGCACCTCACATCCAGCACAATATCCCTAACTATCTCCCAGCATTATCATCACAACTTAGCCGCGCTTCCAGACTTCCCGGCCCTTCAGTTGGAATGCCTCACTCCTATACTATGGATCCATAGGTTAAACTAGCAAGTTGAAGTCCTTCGGGAGTTGTCTCATTGAGGCAGCTCTAACAAGGATTGATTAGCCTTCATGTAGTCTAGCGGGAATAGTGTACTTGAATGCTCGAATTTCTCCGTAGGGTATATACAGCTGATAGTTCTGTCCGTCTTCAAGAGAGATATCCTAAGTCAACTCTGCTTGTAAACTGAATGTGCAATTTTATGATTCACAGTAAACTGCAATAAAGAAATTATCTTGCTTTGTAACATTTAATTTGCTGATTATGCTTCAGTATTAATTTTAGTAGTTACATTACCATTGGTATTATTACGAATTAGGCTCTTCCACAGTCTAAATGTTAATGTTATCAATAAAGTTAATAAAATTTACTTTTGATATGAAAACTTAAATTTATCTCTCATTGTTATGGGCTATAAGTCTTATTAGAAGTTCATCTCTATCTTAATGTAAATCTTAGATTTATAATTTATAATAAACTGATTCTTTCTGTTAAAGAGTCTTGTAATTTGCTTCATCATTTTATTCTAAAAGCTAAATTGCAATTAATTATGAAAAGAGCAATGCAAGACAACAAAAATAAAGGTAAATCCATTACTGATTAAATCTCCTTTTTGACATAATATCCTAATTTTTAAAAATTGATTTATCAAAATGATTAATTTAGATTTCGCCCTTTAATAATATATACAACTATATATATGTCTCATGGGGTTTTGGGGTTTTGGGGTTTTGGGG